GGTATTTGATGATCTCATTACCTTCAACACGGAGTTTAAAACTCTTCTCAAATGAGTAGAATTAACTATCAGTAAATTGAGATAACTAAACTAATTTCATTTGATCAAGTTTACTGTTGCGTTTTACAGTGTGGATATTTGGGTATTTACAATGTATTTCTCAGAAATGTGCATGTTATTATAATGCATGCCTTATAAAGTTCCCTCTGCTTTCTGAGTGGTTCTTGTTATTAAGATGTATTTTTTTCCATTACATAAACAACATACAATGGAGATAAGGCTTTCTAAATCCAATTGATAATTACCTTATTATTTTATGGTGATGACAAGTAATTTTTGACTAACACTAGGGTATTTACTACTTCAGCTAAAAAATGTAAGCTTCATTTCAGAAAACAATGTGTCCCTCCATCCTACCGTTTGATCTGTGCTCCTAAATATAATCCTTAACTAAACAATGGTCTATTAATTGAGAGGTGTAACCAAAAAACAGGGACTTTAGCCAAAAAAGGGCAGTTTTCTTCTCTGTTTGGGTGAGCACCACGCCTTGGCATGGAAAATTGTCTAAGATTGCGGCATGGGCTCGCCTGGTCCTCCCTAGTGACAGACGGGCTCCAAAAACGCTTGAACAGCCGCTTCTGACACACCTCATATTTCTAGTCTTGAATCCCTTATCAAGCAGATCAAAATTGCTCCATTACATGGCAGAACACAGGCTTTAAAGGGAACAAAACATGCAGATTTGACTGAATTCATATTTTAGGTGAACTAGTCATTATATTCGGGCGATTTTAAATGTATGCTTTATTGGAAATTAATAATTATCTAAACTGTAATTGGTTTTAATAGTTTAATGGAGGCTTTCAATGAAGTGTGTCATCACAAATGACCACAGAGACCATGACTTAAAAAGGTTTTGCTCATTTAAACTAATTCATTATGAATCATTCACTGGTTTGAACGAGTGAATCGCTGGCTTAAATGTAAAAGCATATGATGGATTTTCCAGTTTATCTTCTCATTCATAAAATGGAGCAATGAAGATCACTGTCGAAGAGCATAAAATTACTACTGAGCATAAATAATTACTTACTGACTTAGAGTCTTTTGGGTTTGGGGGGGAGGGACAACAATCTATATGATAACACGGCATTATGTACAACCAACAGATTTAAATTGAACAGATTTACCTTTCTTCATGAATGCTTAATTTTGTACATGAAAAACATGTGAAATATGACCATGATTACAATGAATTATCTGCTTTCCATTTACTTAGCTTCATGTTAAACTGTGTAATGCTGTGACTTGCCTGCCAATGTTAGTGGATTTATTTGGTTAATCAGTTGAAATCCTTAAATACTATTTTAAAACCCTTTTAAAATACATTAATGGACAATTGAAAATAAAAGGATTAAATGATGTTTGCTAAATTGTTGCAAACAATTTAAATGTGTTGAATTTAAACAAACAAATTCAAATTAGTAATGTTTCACTCAATTTGTTTGCTTAAATATACAGCCCAAATAAATTTTTAAAACCACTTTACTCTTTAAAAAAAAAAGTTAGTACATTCAAGGATCCAAAAATCTATTTTTCGTCAGTGTACTTCCTGAACTGTCAAAAAAGTGTGCAGAATATAATGCCTAATAACGTTGCATTCAATGAATGGTTTGAGATATGATTCAATGATTCACTCTTTGCAAAATGACGATGTTGTTGCCACCTACTGGCGTAATTTGTAGCTTGAAAAGTCCGTGAAGGAATTAATAGAGAATAGCTATAAATAAATAAAAATTATCTGACTGAATTCAAAAGATTAGAGCAGCTGGGATAAAACAAATCCGCACCACCAGCGAACGCGTCCATTCACGGCGAGTTTGACGGAAAGCCAATCAGATTTGGAGGAGGAGAAGAAAGGGGGGTTACAGGTTGTCACCGAGTAACGGTTCAGCCCCTATACAACACAAAACGCCACTCCAGAGTTGTCTATACAAATAAAATACTTCAAGAAAAACATGAGAAGTTCGTAGTTTTGGTAAATCACTAATATAATGCAACATATAGCGTAACAATGTTACAGAAACGTCCTTTTAATCTGCAACGCAACAAGTTATTCTTCAGCGCGTTCGGCTCGGATGAACGACCGTCATTGTCCCAATAATTAATTCTTGCCATAAATAGTGCATTGCGTGTGGCCTACTGTTCACCCGCGGGAACTGGCTGGCAAAAATGCCAACAAGAAAGACCATCCTCGCCCCTTTCGAGCGCCTACGCGTCGCTTCGGTCTCCTGTTTCACCAAAAATGCGCAGCTTTTAAAGGCGCCGAGAAATCTCTTCAGATCTCTGCGCGCTACAGCACAAACACAAGCCAGCGGCTTCCATTTGCCACGAGTACTCACCGTTTTCGGCATTTTGTCGGTATCTGGTCTCTTCCTTCACGAATGTGTCACAAACTGAAGCTGATACAATGAAGTCAACAGAAAGCCAAACTTTTTCCCATCGGCTGATGTCCACGCGCAACAGTCAACAAGCGACGCCGCTCGTGTGTGGAAAAGCTTCTCCTCAAATCTCTTCCAGACCCCGGAGACAAAGTTTCACTTTTCGCCGCGTCTTTGTCGCTCAGAGAAGTACTGGTGGTCCCACAGTCGATTTCCTGCTAACGGAACTGAGTTTTGAAAACCACACCCAGCCCAGCCGATGGAGGCACACCAAAGCGCGCTTGACTAAACTCCGCCCGGATTCTCACAGGCCCCGTTATACGCGGCTCGGCCACTGATGATGATGCTGCTGCTTTGTGTGAACGCGCGCGCTCCGTGAACGTGAGGCGGGGGGATCCCACACTATTCCAGCAGTGACGTAATTTTCCCCAGAAATTCCAAGATTTCCTGGCTTCCTCTGTTGAATGGCAGGGTTTGGTACGGGCTGTGCGTTTAACTTCAGGAACACAGACTTTATATGGACAACAATCAAAGCCTTATGCTTAGGCCCATAAGCTGATCACAAGGACAATCTGCTTTTAAAAAAGAATGTTTACCTGTTTGACAACCAGGACACACAAACGTAATCTAGACCTTTTGGTTAAATACATTTTATTTATTTATTTATTTATTTATTTATTTATTTATTTATTTATGTATGTATGTATGTATGTATGTATGTATGTATGTATGTATGTATGTATGTATGTATGTATGTATGTATGTATGTATGTATGTATGTATGTATTTATTTATTTATTTATTTATTTATTTATTTATTCGTTTATTTATATGGGTGATTTGAGTGCTGAATATTATGTTATTGCTCAATGTAAACTGCTAATATGTTTTGCACTAAAACGTTCAATAAAATATGTTACAAAAATTAATGCTTTAAAATAAGATTTAATTACAATTAGAAATAATTTAAATAAAAAATATTTATTTAAAAAAACTAAAGACTACTTTGACCTTTTTATCTTTTACTTTTAGATAAAAAAAAACAGTTTAAGACAGTGACTGTTACATGCAAAGAGAAACTGTAGATGTTGTCATATTCATAATTATATTGCATGTCTAGAAAGACATCTATGGCTAGATGTTGTAAATAGCAGGAGCAGATTTAGTGATTTGTGGGCACTAAGCAATTCCAGCCCCGGGACCCAGCAGTCCTACAGCATTATGCACCCTTTGTATCTGTATTTATTTATTTATTTAGCTGTCTTTTCTTATATCACTGAATCTTGCTTTTTACATTTTGATATTAACACAATCTGTACATTTTAAAAGATTTGTTAGCCAAAAATAAACCACAAAAATCTTAACTCAAAAATTAAAAAATAATGAATAAACCATTTGATTAAAGATTTGCACGGATGTGATAATTAAGGTAAAATTGTAATTGTTAGACCCTTATTATATAAAATATGATAGAAAATGACATTATATACAATTTATAGAAACTTCTACTTCTTTTATTGTAGGCTCCCAAATTTCATAAGGGCCTTAAATGGCTGCTTACCTCACGTATTGGTTAAATTCGTCCCTGTTGAATAGTTAATATTATATTATACAGATAGACCTACTCATAAGAGGATTATGCAATCTGCTGATGTTCTGTGCAATGTAGAAAAATAACATAATTATTTTGCAAGAATTTAGTAGTTTTAGTTGGCCAAGAATGTATTACTCTGTATTTAATAGATTACAGTTACTTTTGGTTTATGGATTACAGAAATAGAAATTATTCACACAATTCCTCTAAGTAATTCATAATTTATTAACTTTCCCTAATTTCTTTATAATTTAATTAAATATTCCTTAAAGAATTATACATATTACTATATTGTTTAGCTTTTTTTAAGTAGTCAAAATACAGAATTTCCATGTACATTCAATTTAAATTAATTTGTGATCTACCCCCTCTGAATTTAGTAACAAAATTAAAATTATATATATATATATATATATATATATATATGTATCTTATCTTCTATGTTACTAACATTTTCTATGTATTTTGCAATCAGTAACAAAATAATATGTCTAAATAATTTACTCCAATATATAATGCTACCATGTTATTTCTTTATTGTCGTAATTACCAAGTCCTAAAACTCAGCAGTATAATGCTACTTTTTATAAGTTATTTATTTATTACTAGTATTATTATTAATGCTAGATATTACTTCTAAATCCTCAGTTTTAATTTGATATCAAAACAGAACTGGGTTGATTATTATAAGAACTGGGAGTTTAATGCCCCTGAAACGTTTGCAAATGGCTGATTATGCTCATCAGCAGTGCACTAAAACTGCAGTAAATATTTGCTTAAAGATTTTGCTTATTTGCTAAATTTGAGTAAACTGCAATATATTAACATAAAGTACACCTATAGCAATACATTTTAAACAAATAAGTTTTATTACTCTCAGTTCTCCTTTGAACTCGCTTTTCTGATCTAATTACTATTACATACGGAACCATTGTTCATCGCTTACGCTAAACGGGGAACGTTTAACCTGCCGCACCTCTGGCGGGGCGTATGACTGTGATGTGTCCAGTAAACGGGAGCTTTCCATAAATCGTATGTTTTAGTTTTTAACAACTTTAAATGTGCTGAATTCTTTCGCCGCCTCGCATCCACGCACTTTATCACTCGAAAACGATACAGTCGACGATCTGAAGATGAAGAAAGAAACGGTGGGGAAGACGCGTCACGTCGTGCCCTGGATGAACAAAGCGGAGTACGAGCATGTGCTGGAGTATTTGTACTCGAAAGAGCCTGCGCTGCAGAAACACGCGCTGCACAGGATCTCCGCGTGGAAGGGCAGGTACAATGTGTGTGTGTGTTTGGTCCGAGCGAGTGAATGATCTCTGATGTCCTGCTACAATGTTGCAGATGTTGTGGCTGCTCTTTGGTTGGTCACGTGACGTCTGATGCTGCTTCATCTCTTGTCTTTTACTGACGGACGGTCCTGCTCTGTGGATGGGCTAAAGTGAATTTCTCTGTAAATAATGCCCTAATGCAAACAATTGTTAGCGTTTCAACTACGTATTGCTATGGCTTAATACAAACCCTGATATCTAGCTAGCTGTTTGGTCTTCTTGGCCATTGTTTTTAAAAGAATTATTCTGAAAGGGATAGTTTACCCAACGCTGAAAATCATGTAATCATTTAGCAATACTCACACTTTTCATAAAGCTTTTGAAACTGGTAACAATTCACTACCATAGTAGGACAACAAATACTAGGATGTCAATTAGAGCTGCACTATATTGGAAAAATATACATATCAATATATTATGTTACGATTATATATATTTTGATTATATATTGCAATATGATTACAATATAACTAGAGTTGTTAAATAACTATTTGAAAAGAATTCCTCGTTTTAGATTGATTGAGATGATTCGGAGAACGTGTATGCATAAAATATTAGAAACAACCTACAAGCATAGACACATTCAATAATGAAAAAGGTACAACTTAAATAAACAGCGTTTGATTGTTTTCCGAGGAGTCAAACTGTATTCAGGTATACAGTAGTTGAATAATCAAATGTAAAATAATACTACATAGTCTTTGATTGTTAAATAATTAAATTTGGTACATTTTCTTAGGCCTGGATGCTTTAAAAACCATCACAAGCCTCAAAAAACTATTTTATTATTATTATTATTATTATTATTATATTACATATTTTATTATATTATATAATTTTAATCTAGACTCAGTATTGAGTATGGTAAATGATCACATTGCGAAATCGTAGCTGTAATGATATACTGTGCAGCCCTTATGTCAATGGATAAGTTTCTAACATTCGTCAAAATATTTTATACATTCAACAGACAAAACCCATAAAGTTTTGGAACAACTTGAGGGTGAGGAAGTAGTGAGTATATTTTTGGACAAACTATCCCTTCTAGAATTTCTGATGTTTTATTTTTATGCCAGAATAGACACGTATATCAAAACAAACTTTAAAACAATAGATAAGGTGCATAATTTATTATAATAAGCAAGTTCAAGATTTAAACATGGGTGTTTTCATTCTAATTCTACTTACCGCTAAATAAGATATTTAGAGAGGGACATTAAAAAAAGATAGAAAAGGCAGCTATATGTTTTCATCAGTTTAAGGGATTGTTCACCCAAAACACAAAAATTCTGTCAATTTGCTTACCCTTTACTTGTTTCAAAACCTTTCAGTTTTTTATTTTTATTTTGTAAAACATCAAAGAAAATATTTCGAAGAAAGCTGGAAACTTGTAACCCCTGACTTCCGTAGTAAAATGATCAAATAATTATTTTATTTGCAAATGTTTTGCTAAAACTTTTCAAACTGAGATTGCATTGTAAACACATATTCCTGTATTCAGATTAGAACCACATATGGAAGTACCCCAAATCAAATAGAAAATATCAGATTTCATGTGGTTTGTGCTGTTCAAACTTGTGTGAATGAATAAAGGATTTGAGTCACATTTGGGCAACATGTTCTAGAATACAAAAAATAAATAAATCATGTTTTGGAACACATCTGTTGTCCTAATGTGGCCTCTGAATTTTTCTCTGTTTCCACAGGTTTGGACAAAGCACACCCGTGGCCGTGGAGAGCACAGCTGACCTTGTCCGGTGTCAGGTGCTGGACAGCACTGGCCAGCTGGAGGCCAATGATCTGGTGCTGCTCTATGGCATGGCACTGGTTCGGTATGCTCGTCAACCATGACATGCACTTCAGTCTTATAAATCAGCTCATGTATATTTACTGGAGTATAACTGTGTTTCAGATTTGTTAATCTCATCACAGAAAGACAACAGAAGAAAGTCGCCAAACCCTTAAGAAGGTTAGCCAGAAAAGTAAGTCAAACTTTACTGATAATCTTTCAGGATTTCAAGGTTCCCATTGGTCATAGTTTATTCCATTGTTTCACATTTTCCCTATGGTTGGGCTATTTTACAGTGCCATTTTATTGATTTCCAGCAATCATTAAAAGGCATAGTTCATTCAAAAGTGAAAATGCTGTCTTCATTTACTTAATCACGTGTTCCAGAACTGTTTGACATTCTTTGTTGGAACACAAAGGGAGATGTTTTGAAAAATGCTGAAATCCTGTAACCATTGACGTTCATAGTATTTGTTTTTTTCTTCATTGGAAGTGGATGGTTAAAGGTTCTCAGCTTTCTTACAAAAATTCTTCAAATATTTTGTCAAAAAAGGTTTGAAACCACTGGAAAATGTGTGATTTCACTTTCATTTATGGGTGGACTATCTCTTTGTGTCGAATGCAGTCGCCATACTGTACCCGTTAAAATACGTTCTCTGTCTATATTTTGTCTTCTTGTTGTTTTGTTCATTATAGGCCATGGCATCTGGGAATTTGACATTTGGCTATGAGTAAGAACCCTGTCTGTTTTTCTATTAACAGTTTTTTTTTCTGACAGATAAACATCCCAGAGTGGGTGGTAAACCTCAGGCATGACCTGACGCACCGCAGACTCCCGTCATTAAAGTGGTGCAGAAAAGGTGCGACATGAATGTTGTTGCCTTACAGACAGATATAAAAACACTGTTAGATATAAATGTACTTTCACTGCTCCCTTTGTGTTTGTCTTTACTTCTGTCTGTACTCTTCAGGTTGTGGTTTTGTGCTGGACTGGCTGCATCAGGAGTACTGGTCCCGTCAGATGGGAAATCAGCTCACTGAGGATTGGAACTCTTCATCAGATGACGAGGGTGAAGACGATGTTGTTAAAAGGCATGAGGGAGATCTTCTTAGCAGACAGAGAGAGATTGAGGCACACAGTAAGTAGCCTTTGGTGGTCCATTATGTTGCGCATTTGTATTGATATGTAAGAGAGGGACTGCAAAGCAGAGATCTGCGCAGAACTGAATTTTTAGTCCCGCTCCTGCCAGGTTTTTTTCCGCACCGACTGCTCCTGCTATATATTCAGCCTTTGTTCAGCCGCTGCCTGACCTGCCCTGTATTCTTCCTGACCTGACCGTTCCCGCTAAATCTGGTTTCCAAAATCTCACATTAAAATTGGGTACTGCCAAAAAAGAGAGATAACAGATAAAAGTGTATGTCGTGCAAGGATTGTCGGCTAAATGTTTTGTTTGCCCCTTTGTGATGAGACATGAATGCTGCCTTAAACAGTGATGTGCGGTGAGGTTTGTGGCTGGTGAGGCACTGACTCTTTCAAAGTCAGATTTACAAACATTTCCACTCAATATATTTGCCAACTACGGATTGTGTTTCATATGTCATTTCAGCATTATTTCTATAAACGTAGCGGGTAAATATCGGACCTTGGAGGAATGTAAAAATGTATAGCGATTAAATATGCCTGCCAAAAAACACCCAGCTGGATGCTACAGAATCCACACAGCCTATACCAAAGCGACACACAGCATCACGGTGAATACGTGCACGTGCTCTCTTGCTTGCTCTTTCTCTATCTGTCGGGAATGCTGTATTGTTAGACCACCTGCTCCACCTGTTCATATCATACCGAGCGATATTTATTCCCATGCTGCAAGAAATCTAGTCAGGTCCCATGGCTGTACCTCTACTACAAAGTGACTTTTGCACGCACTTTAGGTTGATGAGCAGATGTCAAGCAATGCTATAAATTAAATACTGTGTGCCCATGAAACTCAAGCGTAATAATGAATTTTAAAAGAACTTAATCTTAATTTTAGTCCTGAATATAAGAGTAAGTCACTGGTTGTGTGAATCAACCAAAATTAAACGCATCAGAGAGCAAATATTCATGTGTTTAGTATTTAATGACTGTCACATTTAAAGGGCACCTATGGTAAAAAATCTACTTTGCAAGCTGTTTGGACAGACATATGTTTAGATATAGTGTATAGACCGTCATATTGGGGTGAAATAAACACACCCAGTCATTTTCTTTCAATTTAACAACATAAAAACTGTGGACCAATTGGAGCGGTTTTTAGACCGACCTCAACTTGACAAAGGAGTGCGCCCGCCCCCGCCAACCGAATCTAACAGCCGCACGTATTAACATGTCTCGGTAGTCACGTATATTCATACCAACAAGATCAGACGTGCGCAAAGCAATTGGAAATAGAAGTTCTGTTCGGTTTGCTAGGATCATCAATCATCATTAAATGTGATCAAGAGTAAGTTTCACATGTGTAAAATGTTTTAAAACGGTGCATGTGTGAAATGAATTACAGCGATTTACTACAGCTTTACTTTACTTGCCGCGTGTCAGAACAACTATAAAAGAAGACGCTTTAATCCCGGTTTGTGGACGTTAAATCATTTTGTACATTAACATAACAGATATTCATACAGCAGTGGAGATTAACCTGAATCCTGTCACATTTGCTTGCAAAAAGAGTGCAAAGCTAAACACGCTCTGTCTGTCTGTCTGTGTGTGTGTGTCGGTCTGTAGCTGTGTGTATCTGTGTGTGTGTGTGCACGTGTGAACTTTGCACATTGACATTGTGTGACTCATCGATGCATCTCCACAACAAATACTCATTGTTAAAGTTCTTACTGTAGTATTTCTCACAAACGCTACGTGAGATCTTCTTCCTTTAAGTCTCTCTGTTGTCTGATGCAGCCGAGGGAGGAGATTAAGGCACATAGAAACGGTAGGCGGGGAGGACTAGCCTTAAAGGTGCGGTATGACAAAACAGCCCCATGGTGGAAAATGTATAAAATAGGATCTTGTAAAAGGTATAATGAAAAATCTGATGGGTGTTTTGAGCTGAAACTTTATATACACATTCTGGAAACGCAAAACACTTATATTAAATCTGAAAGAAGGGGTAACCTAGGTGGCCTTTAAGTTTAAACTTACAAGAGCTGCTTAGTTCAATAATTTACTGCTTTTTTGCCTATCACTATAATTATTGGATATTCAAAAAAAATGTAATTTGATTGATTGTTAAAGTTCTAAGATGAGAAAATTAGTTAAAATTACAATATTACAGTATTTTCTGTTCAACTTGTTTTGATGCATTCAATATTAATGGTGTTTTCAATTTATATTATTTTAAGTATAAGTTAAATTGTATTAAACACATTTCCAATTACACCTGTTACTTTAATAAGTCTTTTTGTGTGTGTAAAAATTTCTGATAAAATTGAACCCAGAAATATTTTAGTATTAATTATTTCCTTCCTCTCTACCTTTTAGAAAAAATCAGAGAACTTCTCATCTCTTATGAAAGAGAACAGTTCCAGGTAAGTGGGACCAATCTCGCACTACGCATGTCCCAGCTTGCACCAGCAGAGGGCAGTGTAAGTCTGGGTTTTAGAGACAGCAGTCCAATTCCAAGCCTTTATAAAACTTGAACTTGAAGAAGATATTTTTAAGAAAGCTTAAATAAAAATGGTTGCTATTGGCGTCCCTATAAAAAAAAACATACTATGGAAGTTAATGGTTACAGTTTTCCAGCTTTCTTCAAAATATCTTGTGTTCAACAGAGGAAAGAAGGTCAAGCAGGTTTATGATTAGTGAAGGATGAGTAAGTAATGGTGAACTATCCCTTTAAATGACAAATGTTCAAACTCTTTGGCTGCATTTGCACTCCAGATCTTGATGGTCAATTCCGATTTTGTGACTATACCCATTTTTTTTTTTGTTGACCTGCCTACATCATCTTATAAAAGTGACTCGTATCCGATTGTCTGCATTTGCACAGCACATGGCAAAGGTGCAATGACCAGAAAAAAAACGGACGCTGACTAACAGCTGATATTAAATAAGTGCTTTGTTTTTGCTTTGTCCATTCCTGTATTTAATCTGTTTGCAGGGTTTATTTATTTATTTATTTGTCACTAGTTAGTTTGCAAAAAGTTAATGACAGAAAAGTTTTCATTTGGCCATCTTCTTTTAATCTAGGCCTTTTAAACAGTAGGCATCTTAATGAAATGTCTATGGCATGATTTATGCACATGATGTATGCAACAGTTTTATATTAGTTTATATTGGTTACGTGGTGGATGTTGTTCTCTCTCTCTCTCTCCCTCTCTCTCTCTCTCTCTCTCTCTCTCTCTCTCTCTCTCTCTCTTTAAACATGCTTAAATACATGTGCTACTTGACAATATAAAAGACTTTTTGTCCTCATGTATGAGATTTAAGGTTTGGGACTGCTGATGTATTTTCTAAAATAAAAGCGTCAGAGTTAACGTCATTCGCTTTGCTTTTAAATGATGCTCGACTTGCATTAACAGGTGAAAACCCGATCTACCTGCTTACGCTGCAGACACCAGGACACAGATCCGATTCATATCAGATAAATTTCCACAAATGAACAAGGCCTGAATCTGATTTGTTTAAATTAGAATCTGTCATTTTTTTCCTGCTTACAAAAAAAAAAAAAATCGAAATTGAGTCACTTGAGCCATGCAGTGTAAATGCAGCCTAACTCATACATGCAGCTTGTCTACGAAAATACTTGCTTCCCTACAATATAGCATGTAAAATGAGCAGTATGTGTATACTGTACTCATTTTGATTTAAACTGTATAGAGTGTCTAAGAGATAGACATAAACTGCATTTCATAAAAACATTGAAGTGTCCAGTGTTTGAGTAATTGGGGAAGACTTGAGTTATTTCAATTCAAGATCTTGTTAATAATGTCATATCCATTGTTTTGGTGTATTTGGCAGACATATGAAGAGCTGGCAAAGCATGGCGGGCAGGGTGGCGCGTGGCCAGATGCCAGCGCTGACCTCAGCTGGATCCTGACGCAGATCAAACACTTCGCCACAGAGTCCAGGTGTGTGTGTGTGAGCAGGTCTTCATCTCTGATATGTGCAAGCATATGTGTCTCATGGCCATCTGTTGTGTCTGTGCTGCAGAGACGTACTCGTTGATGTTTTACTTCAGGATGGATTTCTGATTCCCACCACAGAACAGCTGGAGTCTTTGGATGTTGACCCTTCAGGTATTAATGCACATGATTTTCTTTAATATGTACTATAGGCAGAATGACTAAATTTGCCTTTCTCTGTTTTTAGAGGACTCTGTTGATGTGTTCTCTCCGAGCCTTCCTCGAGTGTTTTTCCACTTCTGGTTGCCATTATTGAGGGTTTTGAATTCGTCTGGCTTCATAAATATGATCCTTGACAAACTGTTCAGTGAGCTGTCGAACGAGCCGTCCACTCCTAGAATGTACTACATCGCCTCCTGGATC